ATCAAACCATTAAACAAACGGCTTCCCGTATGGAAACTTGAGTACTATAGATCCGTTTGGGTTGTACGGACAGGATACTTGGATAACACATAGGTGTTCTACCAAATCCATATTTCAATATGGAAGTGTTACTTGGTTTGGTGCATATCCTTCTATAACTTGATAATAGGCATAGATAAAGTACTACAAGATATACATAGTTGAATGAGGAGATCTAAACGTGTGTTCGAAACATAGGGCCTGGGTTGAACGGTTTACCCTGTGAGGGGAAACTATGGGTTCAATGGTGCAATGGTTCACCCTATGGCGGGAAACTATTGGTTCTGCAGCTTCAGCAGGTGGCCCGGGAACCTTTTACCGCCAGCAACGAACACGCAAAACTGTTCATCTCTAGCTTCTTTGCAAATAGTCTGATGATGATCTGTACAGTTAGGCTATGAAGGCTTCTAGGGCATCTGAAGACGTACGCCTAAGCCTGAACCTTCGAACATGCCTGACCTGGAGAGGGCCGAAGCAACGAAAGACATGCACTTGCCTCAAGATCTGCAGGTTCAATGGATGGTTCCACGGTTCAATGGTTTACCCCCTCATGTTTCGAAACAGCCCACATGTTTCGCAACACGCAACATCATATCTATAAACTGATTCTATAAGAAAGTTCGGAACACACAACATTTCATTTTGTAACGCATCTTATATATATATATATAAGGGAAATTAAATACGGGAACACACGCTGTATAAGGAAAGTGCACGAAATGCATGGCGGGGGTATACCTTTTTACCCATATACATACATGTGTAGCATATATACATGCACCTATCTATATGTGTGTGTGTTCACCAGATTTGAGCTGCCATGCTTGGAACACTTCATCAGCAGCAGCTCCAACTCTTAATGCCAAATCCTAGCAGCACATTGCAGTCCTGAAGCGCAGGCTTGCGAAGCACGTCCTTCACAGTAGGGCGTAAAACGAGGCAAAGTCTCCGACACAAATTCTGCGGCCAGAGCTTAATTCGCAACAAGGAGACATTCCTGGGCTTTGGCTTGCGGATGCCGCCGCCACCCTCGCTGGACCTTTCAGCAACCAGCAACGCTTCATGGCTCTGCAAGTACGTTGAATGTTGAACACGCCCCGCAGCTGGGTTGCTGTCAAGGAACTTAATGTAAGTTGCCATATTGCGGATCCATACAAACCGTCAAGTATACCCATTATATTCTATAACAGCAGCCCCAAGCCTATGCATTCTAGGGCCTTGCGCGCTTGCCGTGCCAGGCCATAGTGCTAATGTGCCAGCTGAGCACTGCTGCCAATAGCCTCGGAGGCAGCCCTTCGTGAGGGTCTTGGGGTTTCGTCAAGTTCCGGAAAACAGGAACAAGAGCAGCAAGATTTTCTCTCCTTTTCACTACCTACCTGCCTCTGCAATCGATGTCTCATTTGTTTCCGTGCCTCTTGCTCTTTCCCTCTCTTTGCTTTGCTTGGGGTGTGAGGCGGGTGCAGTCCACCCTCTCTCTCTCTCTCTCTCTCGTACCTAAGTTGACACAACGCGCTCAAAAGGCGTGTGAACCTGCGGCCAGGGTGCATGCAGTGCACAGCTATAGAGTGCACCTTGCAGCCTCAGAATTCAAACTTCGCAACTGAGTACATGTGGATTGACGTGGCCATGGGGATCTACTTGTGCACCGTTCCAGAATTCTTGGAAACTATCTTGTGGTCGCCAGGAAACGCAAGCTCTCGAGGCAATGAGCTTTAAACGCGACAGTAGAGGCCCAGAGCAGAAAGCCTGAGCTGCCAAGAACCACGCCATCCAAACCTTCCCAAATACATTAAGAGGAGCCACTGACGGTGAGCAGCCAAGCCTCCAAAAAGGATACCACTCGACAGGTGACCTCACTGTGCACAGAGTGCACAGTAACTTCCTCACCTGATGCTAGTCATCAACAGCTGCGAAAACAAATGTGTGTGGAACAACGGCCTGGTCGAAGTGTGACGAGCCCAGAAGGCAAGCACCTCATCGGACATGCGCACATGCACTCAGGCTAAGCAAATGGGGTATAGGGCTATCATGGGTAGCCCACTATTACCCTCCCAATATACCTCGTGTCAAGGCGAGAGGCAAACAGCGCAGCTGCCAGGATGAGCCTGCCATCCACCTGGAGTCCTTGGTCAAAGGTGAAGAGGCATCCGTCCTCAGTGCTTAGAACTCTTGTTCTCAAGCCCTCAAGCTTCACTCCCAACTCCTCGGGGTTTAGGGGCTTAGGAGAGCCTTCCGATCTCCAAGAAGGAAGCAGAACACAAATGAAGTTCAGGTGAGCCCAAAAAGGCTTGTTCATGCAACTTGATAAAACATGATTTGGTTAGTAGGCTGCGATACTCAAACGCTCCGTTACATTAAACTAAACGAGCAAAGAAAAGCTCGTAACTTGCAAGCTCTTAGCCTAAAGCACTCAACCTTTGCAGGTCGGCCTGTAATGTTGAAGGTTTACCGTCTTTTTGAAAGACCAAGCAAGGAGTGCATTAAGTAAGCACCTGATCATGGGGAAAGTCGGCAAATGCTGAGGAGACCCGTGACAAAACTCTGGAGAAGGTCCCTTCAATCTAACCTGCCATCATGGGGACAGCTCTACGAGATGCGCGGCCGGGTTTAGGGGCTTGGACATAGTATACTTGCTGTAGGACCTAGTCGCATCCACATGTTCACGATGTTGTGGAGGCTCGCTGATCAACAGCAAGCAGAGGTCTCACGAGCTTGACAGAGCATCGAAGAATCTCAAGTAATGTTCCACGATGTTGGCAGTACTTGCCCTGATACGCTTCAGAATGGAATATGAAATGTCGCAGAGTCGCTAAGGAACTCCCAAAGACGGCATTTCAACAAAACAGAGAGATGCTGTGAGTTGTGGGACAAACCAAAGGCAGTTGTGGTTTCGGCATGTTTCAAAAAATTGCTAGGGCGAAAAAAGAAGTCTGTCATGAAGTCCCTGTAGAACTTCAAGAGACAAGTCGGAAATGGAGCCTTGACAAAGCTTCAGCACGAAGCTTTCAGGTAGCACGAAATCACTCAGGAAGTATCTTCAGCTAGAAAGCATCCGTAGATGAAGCTCTTCACAAGAACCCCAGAGAAAGAAATTCGGTAACAAACTTCGTCTAAGAAGCGGTTCAGGACAATATCAGCGGAAAACCCAAAGTGCTTTTCGGAGAAATCTTTCAAGGTAAGCGCGAACGAATCCGAACAGGAACAAATCAAGTTACGTTGCCAGGGCATTCGCAGACCCCTTGCAAAGTACTTTGATGTAATCCCCGAACAACCATGTGAATGAACATGCCTCTGAAGACTTCACGCATCGAATAAAGGAGCCTTTTAAAGATGTGTTTGATTGGGGTGTTTGGTGGAGTGCTTCCCATGATCAACTTGCTTGGCAGGACTGCTGGGAGAATTTGAGCAGCTGGCAGGTTTCGCTTGCTTCTGCCCGCAAAACATCTGGGATTTGGCAGGCCTTCAACATTCCAGATTTCCAGCCGAGCTTGGCAGACCACCAGCTTACCGAATGCAACGTTTGCAGGAGCAATCAACTTACCAGGCTTCAAAAACGGTCTGGATTTCTGGACGTTTCCAGGTTTGCAGACATCGCGAAAGATGGGGACCTGCAAATCTACAGATCATCTCGAGCTGTCACTTTGTCTCCCCACCCCGCGAAAACTCTCCGAGTAGAAACTCGGGGTGATTAGAGCTTTATCGGGATGAATCGTCTTTGAGCTTTGGCACTACTGCCCAAGAATTTGCGCCATGCTCTTTTTGCAGCTTTGGTACATCTTGGCAGGAGATTGAAGCAGGGCCGTTCGCCAAGTGCAACATCGCAGCTGCAGCTAAGGTGCCCAGAGTTACCAGCTTGATTTGAGCCCGAATGCTGGCCGGGCTCTTAGGGTTTAGGGTTTAGGGTTTGCTTTCACGGTTTAAGGTTTAGGGTTCAGGGTTTAGGGTTTCCTTTTAGGGTCTAGGGTTTAGGGTCCAGGGTTTAGGGTTTAGGATTTCCTTTTAGGGTTTAGGGTCTAAGGTGCAGGGTTTTGGGTTTAGGGTTTAGGGCCGTCCCGAGGCTGGCCCAAGCCCGCCTTCCGCCTTAAACCGAAACCCCAAGTCCCGAAGCAGAAACCCTAAACTCTTCCCCCCTGGGAACGTACGTTCGGCATAGGCAAAGGTCGAGTGGCCCAGGGCTGGAATGAGGGCTCGGAGGGTGGGGTTGTGAAGGGTTGAGGGTTTAGGGTTTAGGGTTTCCTTTCAGGGTTTAAGGTTTAGGGTTCAGGGTTTAGGGTTTCCTTTTAGGGTTTAGGGTTTAGGGTCCAGGGAAAATCCAGGACCCTCGCATGCAGCCCCATGGTTTCCGAAGCAAAATGCCTAGGGGGCCAGCATCATCGATATGCAATGCATGTGCATCTAGTACATAACCTTTGTGACCCCTCTACCCTGCTGGTGGTCCTGCCTGCTGGTGGTGCTGCTGGTGGTGCTGCTGGTGGTGCTGCTGGTGGTGCTGCTGGTGGTGCTGCTGGTGGTGCTGCTGGTGGTGCTGCTGGTGGTGCTGCTGGTGGTGCTGCTGGTGGTGCTGCTGGTGGTGCTGCTGGTGGTGCTGCTGGTGGTGCTGCTGGTGGTGCTGCTGGTGGTGGTGTGCTGCTGGTGGTGGTGCTGCTGCTGGTGCTGGTGGTGCTGCTGGTGCTGCTGCTGCTGCTGCTGCTGCTGGTGCTGGTGCTGGTGCTGGTGGTGGTGGTGGTGGTGGTGGTGGTGGTGGTGGTGGTGGTGGTGCTTGCTCGTGGGCGCGGTCTTGCTCGTGGGCGCGGTCGTGCCCATGGTCAGGGTCGAGGGTCGTGGAGCTGCTGATGCTGATGCCTTTTGATGTTTCTGTGGCGAAAGGTAAAGACACGCACGAGCCGAACGTGCACATATGCTCCTGTAGGGTGGCTACTAGGCCTTGCCATCTTGCCCTTGTTGTTCAGGATCAGTTGGGTTCAGGGGTCATGGTAGAGGTGTCCGATCGCATTGCTGGAATCAGGCGCGCTGTGCGCTGTGGATGAATTTAAATTAGCCGATGACCTGTCAAACGCGGTTTGCTCCTCTAAGAGCATAATGGCCTGCTCAGTTTGTGCCTCCGGTGCCACCGGCGCGTCCATCGAGCTGGGCTCCTTCTCCCAACAGGCACGGCTCCCAGCTGGGCAAACACCATTGCCAACACCTGCAAAGATCACCAGTCCTCGTAGCCCCACTCGTTGAACTTTTTTCGCTTGGGTCGCCTCGGTACAGAACTGAGAAAAGAACGAGCAGCTTCATTCAAGCCTTGATGACACCCGCCCCGTGAACATACTTCTGCATGCCAGGCCGAACCGAGAATCTGCCCGCCCTCCCAAATCCGACGTTCCTTAACCAAGTGGCGCGTCGCCATCCTTCGAAGAAAGGGTGGCCGCCTGGGTTGCCTCCGCGCGTGCCTTGCGCATGCGCGCCTCGGAAGACAGACGAAACCGTGCCAAAAGCGAGTGGCATTCAGGAACTATGTCTGGGCCGGGACGGCGACACGAGTCTTGAGCACCGGCTCCTTCCCCCTTGCCTCACCGCGGCGCACACGCGCCAGCGCCATGGCCTTGGTTTGCATTTAACAACTCCCCAAATCCACACAAGGTGTCCAAATTGCGGAGTCGGGTCTTTGAATTCAAAGGTTTTTCCCAACACTATTTGGAAAGCCTTGGGCACGTCAAATCAAACGAAGGAAAGTTTTCCCCGGCTGCCCGCGCAGGGGCCCATCGTGCCGATCATCTTGCAGCTTGACACTGGGAGAAGCAACACGAGCCAGCATCCGTCGCTCTCACCCTGCCCCTGCCCACAACTCGCCATGGGGTCATGAGCTCAGACCATGAGCGCGAAGGCTCCGGCAGGACTCTCCAGGGGCTCGAGGGAAGCAACCAGTTCCTCCAACCTGGCATCTTCAACTAAGCATGGTGGTGCCCAGACGGAAGACGGATCTCTAAGCTTGGAGCATGTCTATGATCGTGGCTTCATCTTTCTCGTCCTCTTGGGCTTCCTCCTCGGCCGTCTTTTTGGAGTCTTCCGCTGCCTGCTGCTTTCACGCAACTGTGGAAACACTCCGCATCATCCACTCAACATGCCATTGCATGATACCGGCCAAGTCTCCCATGGAACCTTGCCTTTGATGTTGGACTCATGCCAGAATACCACCAAACAACAAACTCGCCCCTCACAGCAAATTTAGTGCTTTGACCTGAACGAAAGATTTGGCTTCATTGCGTTGAATATGTGGGCATGCTAACCCATTGTCAAAGGGCCTCCTTCTTCTCTGCTCCCTCTCCATCATCTTTATCTTCATCGTCCTGGCTCGACTCTTTTCAGCACTGCATTCCCATCCAGTTAGCGGTTTTGCAGTCGCGCTGCAGGCAGGCCGCTTCTGTGCAGTCGTCTTGCTCACACCACTCCATTGCTCCCTCTTCAATCGGCATGGAACAAAACAGATCGGACCAGGCTTCTCTTCGAACGGTCATCCGCTGTACAACTGTTTTCCGGACTGCCGTCCAGGGCTACGCTCAAACGACAAGCACCCATCGGGAGCTCGTGCTTTTCCATGTTCGTCACAATCTCGGGGACGCATCTTCCACGGAAACATCTTCGCAGATCCCCTGATTCTCACCGAAGCCGCAGAGCTTCGGACCTCTCCACAAGTGAGATGAACGATAAGTCGATGCGACTCCAGATATCCTAGCCCATACCGCTGCAGGATAACCTCTAAGCGCAACACCACAAGGTCGACGTCGCCGACTAAAGTAGTCGCCAGACAGCAGCCAGGCTGCAAGCGGAAGCTGGCATGCACTATGATCGGCAAGGTGAATCGCCGTCGCGAAACTTTCCTCCAGCACATCAGCTGCTGCATTAGAGGATCATAGCTCGGTGGTTCTTGGTAGCCTGGAAACCACCCGAAAACCCCCTAATATCAAAAACTATGGGCCCAAAATCATGATTTCTATTTGGGGGGAAGGTTTTGTTGTTCGGGGGAAGGGGTTGCATGCCGTACGTGGACCTTTACAGCTTTGTAGCAACATGGACCCGGTTTGTTTCCTGGAGGTGCTGGAAGCTTACTTTCCATGAGAAGCCCTGCACTGCATCGGCACTTGAGGACAGCGAGTCCACCCCAAGAGACCTAATCGACGATACAACTCAAACATGGGTGGACACAGCCCCTGCAGTGTAATGACCAAAGCTCGAATCAAAAGGCAGCACCATGGCCATCCGCTGGGCTGTCTCAAAGGCTTCGGGATCCGAAAGCCAGATTTTCAGCAGGCACTTGCCAGAGATCACCACATGCACGACCTTCGTGCTGCTTCAAACCACAAAGTCAGGCTCTGCCGCGGAACTCACCCTCAACGCCCAACTGTTCATGTGTCGGAGCATTTCAGCATGACCACTTCGAGAATGCTCCCACCTCTTGTCCCCTTCTGCCTGGAGGCATCCATGCATCCCTTGCTCGTATACCACGCAGCGACCCGCTGCCAGCAGAGCCAGCCTGCGTGGCGCACTCATGCGCTGTGCTTCCAAACTGCGCGAACTCTTCACATGCGTGCCTGCATGGGCAGGATGCTGCGGGCGCCGAGGCTCAAGGAAAGAGGTAACACGCTCAAAGACGTCCTCTGAGAGCCTTTCAATCTGCAGTTTGAAGACCCCTTTGATGTGCATCCCTTTGCCAAAAGGCTGCATGCTGATTTTGCATGGACCTAGAAGTATGTGCCGCTTAGAAGGCTGGGCCAAGGTTTGTGTTCGACAAAGCTGGCTCAGCTGCGTCAAGTGGTCGCCATGGCCCTCCCAGAAGAATGACATTGCTGTGACAGTGCGCAGCTAGCACCAGTGACTTCATGGCATTGCTGTCTCATGCATTTTGTGAAGAAGCTATCGGCTTCGCCAAGCAGTTCGCATGAACCTAAGCTGTCTCGTTCTGAACAGCGTCGCCTGCTTTGGGACAAGCGCTGCGCAAACTGCATGCAAAAGTCCGTGAGTCCGGCAGATCGAGCTTCATTACAGCGGTTGCCCTAGATCATCAGCTTACACCACTCTACTGAGCACAATGCCTCTCTTTAAGTGACCCACATGCAGACACAATTGTGCGCAAAACACCCAAGTCCTCCTCCTCACCTTCAGAGTCGGGACCCAGGTTTTTGGCCATTGCCGACAAACGATTTGCTGCTGTATCCTGGGCGGAAATATCATGCTTTACAAAAACCGCGACCACGATCCTGCAATTTTTGCCGCAAGCCCGAAAAGCAAATCCGATTCACTCTCAACTCTTCCATCGGGTTCAGGCTTGAATGGAACACCTGCCTGTCTGAAAGCTTCTTTCTGCTGCTCCTTAGCCCGTCCCAACGAGGCCACTGAGGTTCCCGACCAGAGCCTTGTTCTGCTTGTCTGCCTCAGCAGACGACAAAACATCCACAATGTGGCAACTTAACTCTCGGAAATCTGCGTGGTGCTTCTCAGCAGTCTTTCTGAACCCGACATCCCGAATAGGTACCCAGTTTTTGGCTTCACGGCATGGATCATGCCCGTTGCCAAATCTGCGTGCTCGACTTTCCAACCGTTCAGAACAGCACATCAGCTGCAGAATGTGAGTGCGATATGGGCCCCAGGCTGCTCTGAAGGTGGCTGTCCGTTCTGCCTCATGGCTTTTACACGCATGTGCTTAAAGCAGTATGGAAGGGTCCGGCACGATCCAACATGTTGTACAACACAACTCGATCCATAACGGCTAACTACCAACAGTTGCATATGCTGCTCGTCCCAAAAATCGCCCGGGCCTGGTCGACTGTGTCCAACCATGCATCCGTCACCTTTTTCTCCTCGTCCTGCGAGATCAAGTTGTGCAGCTGCTCCCTGCTGAGCCCTGCTGTCCGTTGAAAAGGCCCTTTCTTCCTTGTTGAGTACGTAGAAGCCGCTCTCATCAAAGTGTCCCTCCCTCATCTCTCGCCGCATGTTGAAGGGCTCGAGGCCTCGGCCGAATGGGCACGGCGAACCACTTCGGTCACGAATGCTCTTGGGTTGCTGAGGGCAGCAGCGGATACCATCATCGATGCTATTGAGTGGATCGTCTTCATCCACACCCTCGTTTTCGCGAATGTCCTATGAGCATGTCAAAGGAAGCACTGATTCTATCATCTTCTATCCATATGCATGTCCATATAGTATATATTCAAGCCAAAATGTCCTTGAACTGCTTGACCCCCTTTCGAGCTTGCGCCCGTTGTGCCCGAAGAATCTCGAAATTGGACTCGGCTTCAACGGAGCCACCATCGAGCTCCTCTGCAAAAGCTCCCATGCGGATGCCCCCCCCCCCCTCTCCCCCCCCGCTTTCTCTTTGCAGCTCGGCTCTGGCCTGGAGCCTCTTTGCAGTATCTGAAGCCACACCAACCTGGGGGAAAACTTCGACTCCACGTCGATGTCTAGAGAGCTCCTGAGACGAGGGCCGGTGCTCCGCGCCCACCTTTGCCTCGCCCGCGACCACGACCTTTCCCTCAGAGCGCGCCAGCCACACACTCCAGATTTACGCAGATCTCTGTGGCGTTAACACAACAAGACACGACTTCAGAGGCTTCGTGCCGAAAATAAACACAAAAGCGTTTTTTTGTCCTGGTATGTTGATTCGAAGCAAGGCGCAATCATTTCTGAGCCACAGCCTACCCGTACATCTTCGGGTGCCCATCGTGCATCACTGCAGGCGGTTCACTGTCTCAGTCTGCTGCCGTAGTGTATGGACAGCAGCACTTGGCTGGACGACGATGCTGGGCATGACTACTAAGACTACTACAAACGACTACACTTCACACGTCGTTGTTGTGCAGCTTTCTTCGACGGGCAACGGAAGCCCGTGTTCCAACACTGGGGACAGCAGGGCTACACGGACAGGGGCAACGAAGTGCGATGGCCCAAACCCCACAATCTCGTGTCTTCCTAGCCGCACCTGGGCCATCGAGTCGCTCTTTGTCTTTGGGCGCCATGGCTTGAAGCGCCAAATCCGTTATCCGACAGGAACTGACTCGGTGACGAAGCTGTTGAGGCTTCAAGTCTTGGGCTCGAAGCCTCTGTTGTTGGGACTGGCTGCTGCAGTGGCTGCTTGTCCTGCAGACAGGTACCACCACCATCACATGCTATTTGCTACCAGTTGCTCAACATGTCTGGCTATGCTGGGTAGCTCACTGTGCCAAATGCGCGGCATGCGATCTGCAAACGACAAATCTGTGCCAAATCCATGCGGAACAAGACGTGGAAGCCAATTTTGTTTTTTATGGATGGATGCATAGGCTGATAAGGAGGCAGCGGTCGTGGCACCTGACGGCTGGTGAGACAGTGCCCACGGCTGAGTGCCTCCGTGTGTGCATCGCCGTCAACGGTCAGCGACCCGGCTCACTGCTTATCCTGCAGTCATATACTCCACAGGCACGACAAAAACGATGCAAGACATCCCTTTGACCCTCCCCCCACATCCGACACAGGAGCGATTAACGACCTTTGGCAACCGAGTAGCATCTGCCTCAACACTCCCTCCATGGTACCATTCAGCTCCCCATAGCCAATGATGGGCTCTCGAAAGCCTTGGATTACCCGAGAAGGAGTGAGGCGTCGGACAGCGAAGCTCGAAGCTGGTTCAGCAAGGCTGCTCACACTGGGCTGCGCCAAGGGCAGAACCTGAGTTAGAGAAACGCAGCTTCACGCTCGATGTTGCCGGTTTGAGTTGTGGTGAAGTTTGTCGCATGCGGTGCAAGCACTGCGGCAGCCTTCGCATCACCTGTCTTGTTTGCAGAGCATTGCCTACGGTCTGCGATAGTGACGACGGTGGTCGCTACAAATAGCCTGAATCGCAGAGACCCGGATATTGTCCGGAACAGGCTAGCCGAGGCACAACAACCCCCACCAATCCATCTATGGGCCACTCCTGCCAGAGGTACAGGGATGGGTCGTGATGCTGATCTGGAGGAAACAACCAAGCCTTGCTCTGGTCCCAGATGTGGATGAGGATGTGGTCCTCTGGCCCTACCTGGGTTTATCTTCTGCCGAGTATATTTTTGTGTTTTAATATTTTAAATACTCTTGGAGCACATTAAAAATATTTTAAAAACATACATTATCCTTGGTTGTTTTAAAAACTTTTTCTAAGATAAGTCTTGAGAATTGAATCTCCACACCAGAAAGTGATTTGATTGAATTGAATACTTACCGAACCCGAGCCTCGAACTGGAAATCGTCCCACCCAGACACATGGCCCATGGGCTTTGTTAAGCTCAAGGCTCTCTTTGTCTTGGAATCCAAGCACACATACACATACAACACGCGCACACGGAACAGCAGAACAGCAGGCCCACGGGCCCGCTGCAAACGCAAACTTACCTCGTGATCGAGATGTGCCCAGCCGTCTTCGTGCTCCTTTGAATCCAACACTCTCACGCCGGAGGCGCACTGTAGTCCTGTTCACAGTCACAGACTGTCAACTTGGCAATTTCCACCGACTTAGAGGCTCGCTTGACGTCGCTTCGTTGCAGAATGGGCTGGCGAGCACGCGCACATTTTGGCTGCCAAATTGCTGTGGGGCCGCACTGAAGGCTTCTTCAAGGGTTCCGGTGCGGCGGGGCCCACTGAAGGCTTCGACGGAGAAGCCGGAACCTGATTCAATCCCTTCATGCCGCAGATTCTCCTGCTTTCGGCCACGCAGTTCGTTTGGAGGGGCTTCTTGGGACGGGCTCTACCATTTCAAGGCTCCGATGCGAATCAACCCACGGCACCTTCACAGCGGCCTGAAGCGAATTGAAGCATCGTTCGAAAAATGGCCACACCTGAGCTGTCCATCGAGGACGAATGCTTGTCAGGTCGGATTCTCTTTACAAGTTGTGGTGCTGCCGGTGAGCGGACAAAAGGACCCTGTTGAGCACTTTATTCAACCTTGAAAGTTTACAAGTGCGGGATCGTGCCGATGGCTGCGCGCTCTGCCGCTCTGATCCGCTCTGCCACGGTGCCCTTGCATTGGGACGCGGAGGAAAAGCCTCCCTGGAGGACGACGCTGTCGGACGCTCGCGAAGTTCGGCGGAGCTCGGGCGAACCTTCAACCACTCCGGCCTCTTCCTTCTGCGTTGTCTGCACCGTACAGAGCAGGCGCGCGCAGCCCCGAGCGGGGCTCGCATCTTTGGAGACGTCCTTTCATCCGTGTTCGGCCGTCGCCCCACCGCGTGACCCCGTGGCGTGCTGTGGTATTGGCCTCAAGATTCAATACGTAAACGCCTGCGAACACCTGGTCGGTGAGCGGAGCTCCTTAGACACATGTCGAAGGCCCAGGCCCAGGCACGACCCTGGAGCCCAGGCGAACATCCACCACAATCAGGCAAGTAGGGGCCAGGGCCCGAGTTCGACGAAGCCCTGCTTGAAACCAAAGCCCGGACTTCAACAACTTCGGAAACGACGCTTCGCTTGTCGCAGGCCCTCTTGGAAGCCCAGATATGCCCAGATCCTCCAATGATACCTTTTTTCTTCGAGGATCTGATCAAGTCATGCGCTCATGAGTGGAACTTTACGATCTGCGCTGGTAAGCTTTCATAGTCAGCATCACACGGGAGAACGAAGCTACGCACCGATGACTGATGTGATCAACCACCCAAACCTCATTTCCAAAACAGATGAGTGACCGTCGCCACGAAGCCAAGCGCCTCCCTCAGCAACATAGGACATAGGCTTCGTAGTGCCAGTCTGAAGCCGCAACAAGCACACTGAGCATCCATCCACGCATGTACGGCTCCTGCGTCACGCTGGGCTTGGGCTATGCGGCTTTCCCGGCTGCACTTCGAGACCACCTCCGAAAAGCTGCACTTGGCGCGTCGTCGCTGGAGTCAGTCAACTTATTGACAGTGGCTCTGTCGCCCGGCCTGCTCGTCCTCGGCCTTCTTGGGGAACACCATAACTTTGAGTACTGGCTGCACCTTGCTATGTATCCGCGTGGAAAGCCTTTCCAGGCATAGCCGCTTCCTTGCATCTGCAATATGCAAGGCGAAGTACTATCACCTGCAAGGAACAGCGAGGACTAGACCACTAGCCGCGACTCTAGGCAGTCTAGACAAGCCGCCGCGCTCTTCCTTCGGGATGCGAAGCTTTGAGCAGCCAGTCGCTGGCGATTGGTTTGTGGTCTGAGCTGGACACTTCCTGAGAACCGCGTCCCGTTTCCCCATGCTTGTTCACGCCTACAATCGACGAACAAGTCCAAAGCCTCCCGGTTGCACGCAACCAAGGAACTGGTGCAGAGTTGAAGGACAGAAGCTGCAAGCACCCGGTGCAGCCAGGCATGCTGCGATAAAGCATGCGATCGCAGTACTGAGTGTCAGAGGCAGCTGGAGATCGAGATGCCACGACATGAACAACTCTGAAAGCTGTCGTATTCTGGCATCCCTATCCGGAACCTCGACCTCTCGGATGTAGCGATCTCGGTCGAATACAGCGCTCCACACCCTGCTGTGAGATGACCGATGCCTCCCTATCTGCCTCCCTATAGCTTACGAGGTGCAAAGTCTCACGATGCAAGAACGGGACAAGTGAGTACATGACGGAGAAGCCGAAACACAAGGACAAGAGCGGAGAAACAACACTCAGTTCAACGAACTCAACACCAAAGAAGACCAACTGACAAGTTGAACAGGTCAGCAAGCACCAAGGAATAACTTCTGCGGCATCTGCAAGCCCAGGCTCTGATGGCACGCGAGCGGTGTCGAAATTCACACCCGCTTTGCCTGAACCATAATGGGACGCAAGTCCAAGGTGCAAACGTGGATATGCTTCAGCGAAATCGCCTTTCTGCATACGGTACGTCGGCTCCCATGTTGGGACCAGCGCAGAAAAGCCTTGCAGGACCTTACCTGCAGTCATCTCTTGCTGCAGCTGGTCATACTTCGTCAGCTTCACGAAGTCCTGATGAGGCCAAAGCCGAGACGGCGGGGCGGAGGGGGTTGGTTTCGGATTAAAACTCACTGGAAGGAGTCCTTCGCCTCGACCAGCCGCAGTATTTCACAAATCTGTGCCTCTTGCACCTGTCGCACCGCTTTCGCGCATGGCGTTGTCTCACTGCTGGCGCATGCGTTTGCAAGAAGCACCTGGTGCCCCGCTGTCTCTGGCGCCAAGCCCAACACTTCTGGCGGTATGTCCAACCGATAGTTCAAATCACCAAAGAAGAAGCCTTGGTACATTGGTGGCTGCTCTGTTGCGGCACGTTCCACACCCAGCGGCGGAGGCATGAGGAAAGGATAGGAGGCGCGGGCGCCACAAATGCTTCTGAGCTGCTGTGATGCGTGCATGATGGAGCGTCGAGATCTCAGGCGAAAGGCACGGTCAGCAGTCTGCACTCCCCAGCACAGTTTGTGGAAACCGGTTCATGAAGGCTCTTCTCCAATTTGACAGGTGCGTGTGCGACAATGAAATATGCCTAGATTCTAGATACGTGCAACAGGGATGCTGCACGAAAATATGTTTGAGAGCCCTGCCACATGCCCTGCGACAAGTGAAGCTAAGTCTCCAGCAAAGCTCTGAAACACGTGTCCCCCAAAGAATTTCGGACACATCCGTGTTTCGGCGATGGAGATGCTCGGCGTGCGCTGCTAGGTGCACGGAGAGAAACGAAAGCCTCGAATTTCCACACTACAATGGAGAACCTTGAGCTTGACAGGTGGCATTCCAAAACAAGGCTGCCGTCTCCAACCCCAAACTGTTGCCGAACCTGTGCTAAGGCCGGAAGGCCGAAACCATCTGGCGACAATGACTTTTGAACAATCCCGAGCTGAACGCCCAATCTAAAACCATGTCTTTGATACTGACCGAAGCAGGTAGGGTCAAAACCCGGAAGAAAGCCGGACCAAGTTGCGATGTCCGGCCAATCTGAAATTGGACAAGTAGACCACCTCCACAAAAGTCAGGTGAGCTTAAAGGTTCGACATTGTTCAATAATTAAGCTTCTTGAACACTAAGCGCCGGC